GTTTGGCCTACTGTTTTCTGGTGGTTCTTTTTCCAACCCACACATGTGCAGAGTTTGTGGCCAGAGATTCAAATACCTGCTTGATGCTCTCTGGAGCTTACTAAGCAACTCCTTCCTCTTTGGTACTCTGCCCTGCAAATTCTGGCCACCTTGGCCTCTCCAAATCCCAATCTCTGCCTCCTCAACTCGGTAAGACTGCTAGGCTCTTTGGATCTCCTCTCCCGTACTGTTGCTTGGCAGTTGCCTCTTAAAGTCCACAGTTCCAGATTAACTGTTCAATGTCTGGAAGAGTTGTTTTAGATACGTTGTCTGAATTTTTAGTTGTTTATGGCAGGAGGACAATTCCCTAGTAAGTACTTCTTCATGGGCAGAAGAGGAAGTAACTCTCATTCTTTTATTAAATGGGGAAAAATTACATATATATATAAATTACATATATATGTATATTATTATATTATATATGTATTATACATATTATACATATATTATACATATTATATATATACATATTATACATATATATGTATATATTATGTATATATAAATAAAATTTGTAAAAGCACAAAGCTCAAAATTAAATTCCAACAAACCATAAAAATAAACTGTGGACAATAGCTCTTTAAGCCAATATCCCTAAGCAGAAGTAAAGATTTACTTCAGGGAATTTTAATCTTTGCCAGACTCGGGAAATTCAGATTAAACTTGCACACTGAAAGAAATACCAAGTGAGGAGTTGAATTTTTAAAGCTTGTTACATATGAATAGATAGATCTTTTTGCTTCCAAGATTCTAAAGTTGCCTAGAGAGCAAGAGGTTTACTACAATCTTCATGAGGTTATTTGAATTTCAGACACAGGAAAATTAGCATCATTCAGTACTCAGTCATGTAGAAATGACACTGCATCCCTAAACTTGCTAAAAACTGGGATAAATGATTCCTTGCCAGAAGGGATCAGGTCCTTAGTTATCTACAGGTGGCTTCATTTTTAGATATGTTATGCTGGAACTCTGCTCTTCTTTTGCTGTTTCCCAGAAGACCTAGTTTCTTCTTGATAATGCTAAAATATGTACAAGATGTTCTAAGGGAGTCATCTGCAGAATAGCAATATAGAATCAGGTCCACTGAGTAGGAGTCAGGTACATGACATTCTAATTGAAAAAAATGGAGCTTAATACTTTCTTTTTTCTTTTCTTTTTTTTTTTTTTAAAGAATAGGCTATTTTTTTCTTTTCTTTTTTTTTTAAATTTTTATTTATTTATGATAGTCACAGAGAGAGGGAGAGAGAGAGGCAGAGACACAGGCAGAGGGAGAAGCAGGCTCCATGCACCGGGAGCCCGATATGGGATTTGATCCCGGGTCTCCAGGATCGCGCCCTGAGCCAAAGGCAGGCGCCAAACCGCTGCACCACCCAGGGATCCCAGCTTAATACTTTCTTTTGGAACTCTGCCTCTGAGTATTTTTGCTTATTCTAGATTAAAATTGGGGACTGACATGCTCCAGGACTGAAAGATGTTCTAAATTTTCCCAGAAGAAATTGAGAATATATTAAAATGATTTAACTAAAGATTTTAGGATCATCTAGATGCAAATGTTGCATTTAGTCTTTTAAGAAACCAGAGGATGTCTGATTAAGAAGTATAACAATAAATATCCAGGATAAAATCCAGATCTTGTTTATGGCACAGGAAAAACAGGGAGAACTTGGAGCTGCTTCCTCTTAGCAGCTGGATGAATCACTGGCAGCTGCTATAAGAAAGGTAAAGAAACCTATATCTGCTCAGAGTCCAAATGCTATATGGATCCCTTGTGATAGTAAATAAATTCTGGAAGAGGGCCTACTTCCAAATCAGGAAAAGGATTAAAGAGATCTAAAGACTGTCTATAGCTATCTCCATGTGCCTATTCCACAAAAAAAAAAAACAGCTCTAGCTGTAAGCACCATTATTCAATATAGTGAGCATTCAATAAATATTTGCTGACCTGGGAAATGATTGGAAAAAACAGGTTCTGATGAAATACTACAAACTTTACCTGTATACTTAGAGCTCCCAGTTTTGTTTATGTAGAGACTGATGGGTTAGTTTCTCTGAGGTAGTTCACTTAAAATTGAGTCCACTAGGTGCATACAGTCTAAAAAGATGATGCTATTCTCAGTACACTAAGTATTTATGTTCAGTAGTGTAATTGAGATGGAAAATCTTTTGAGTTACGTGTCACAGAAGCCATTATTGGAGTAACAAAAATAACTGAAATATCATATTAACATATTAGCAAGTCTGAGTTCCATTTCCAACTTTCTTTCTAATGTAGTCTGCAACCCTTCCATGAGTTACACAATTTATTTATAAAATGGACATACTTTACTTATTTCTTAGGATAGTGGAAATGATCTAATAAGACACACAGTGGAAGGAGTTTTAGAAAAAAAAGTCTTGGCAGCTACTGCTACTTTATATAGAGGGAGTGTACCTGTTTATGTACTATACCCTCAGCACCAGGAACACAGAAGTCTACCAGAAATACCTGTTACATGAATGAGGAAATAGTCTAGGCCTTCCTCTACTTTAAGTTATGATCACTACAGAAACTGCCTTTAAAAATACTTACTTCAATCAATGTTTTTAAAAAGTGTTTTCCTTGGAATATAATCAAAGATGCCAAATCAACTGTAAGCAAATAAAAGATGACTTGCATTCTCTAGTGCACATAGCTCTTCTCTCAAAGATTTTAAGGTGAAATGAAAATCTTACTTTATTTATTTATTTATTTATTTATTTATTTATTTATTTATTTATTTAATTTATGATAGTCACAGAGAGAGAGAGAGGCAGACACAGGCAGAGGGAGAAGCAGGCTCCATGCACCGGGAGCCCGATGTGGGATTCGATCCCGGGTCTCCAGGATTGCGCCTTGGGCCAAAGGCAGGTGCCAAACCGCTGCGCCACCCAGGGATCCCGAAAATCTTACTTTAATAAACTTTATTCTACTTCCCCAAATCTGTATTTCTAGGAACTAACCTGTACTAACCTGTATTGCCTGCTCTTGATAAAGCTTTTTAATTGTGTACCCAAGAAATTTCAACTTTTCAAAAACTTAACATGTGAAATAATTCACATTAGTCAAAAGGCAGAAGCAACCCAAGTGTCCATCAGCAGATGAACAGAGAAACAAAATGTATACATACAGTGGAGTAATCGGGCTTAAAAAGGGCAGAAATTCTAACACATGTCACAACACGCATGAATTTGGAGGACATTACATTAAATGAAATAAATCACTCACAAAAAAGATAAATATTGTATGATTACACTAATATGAGGTACCTAGAATAGTCCAATTCATAGAGACAGAAAATAGAATGGTGCTTGCCAGGGGCTGGAGGAAGGGCGGAATGGAGAGTTACTGTTTAATGGGTACAAAGTTTCAGTTTGAGAAGATGAAAAAATTCTGGAGACAAATGGTAGCAATGACTTAAGAAGACTGAGTGGGGCAGCCCCGGTGGCACAGCGGTTTAGCACGGCCTGCAGCCCAGGGCATGATCCTGGAGACCCGGGAGTCAGGTCCTGAAAAGGCTCCTAGTCCCACATCAGGCTCCCTGCATGGTGCCTGCATCTCCCTCTGCCTGTGTCTCTGCCTCTCTCTCTAGCTGTGTCTCTATGAATAAATAAATAAAATCAAAAAAAAAAAAAAAAAAAAAGAAGAAGACTGTGAGTGTACTTAATGCTTCAGACCATACACTTACCTGGAAATTTATCACAAGTCTTCTTGCTTACCTTACATACCAAGCCCTATCACCAAATCCTGTAGATTCTATCTCTGAAAGTGCCCCTTCCATGGATGCTGCCTTAGGTCTGGCTCTTATTATCTCTCACTCCTGCAAGTCTCCTAACTATGCTCCCTGCCTCCAGACTCACCCTCTAAGTCATTTCTTTTTCTTTTTTTTTTTCTTTTAGAGATTTTGTTTATTTATTTGACAGAGAGTGAGCTGCAGAGGGAAATGAAGAAGCAGGATCCCCACAGAGCAAGGAGCCCAACACAGGGCTTGATCCCAGGACCCTGGGATCATGACCTGAGCTGAAGGCAGACACTTAACTGACTGAGCCAGTCAGGTGTCCCACCCTCTAAAACCATTTCTCTACTGTCTTTCAAATGACTGGAACTCATATCATCACACCATTCTTCAGAATAAAATCCTTTAACCCATAGAACAAAATCCAATTTCTTTTTTTATGGCAAAATGGTTTTTCAGGACCTGACTCTCCTATTCCTTCACAAGCTTATCTCACAAACCCTAACCCCTAACCTCCTTCACAAACTCTAGTCATTCTATTTTCTCATGGTCTTAAATATTCCAAGTTTTTTATGCTTCTACACCACAGCACATGCTCTACCTCCTTCTTTCCTTTATCCATGTAGAAAACTCCTACTCTTCCTTCCCAAATTAGACCAAACAACCAGTTCTCAGGAGAGCCTTCTCTAATCTACTTGCTCCCCTTTCTCTAACATTAGTGTCCCCATCCTACCTCCATACTCCCTCAGGAGTTTCCTTCTTTGTATTCACATCATTTCTTCAATTTGCTGCATGGTAATTTAATATTTGCCAAGAGCAAAGGCTCTGGAGCCAGACTGCCTGTGTATGAATCCCACCCCAGCATTTGCTGTATAACCTTGTCAATAACTCAACTCTTGTGATCTATAGTTTCATTAGTTATAAGATGGGGCTTATAGTGTACCTACCATGGAGAACTGTTGTGAAGAGTAAATGAATTACTACCCATAAAGTGCTCAGAACTTCACTTGGCTTCTAACAGACATCATTAGTGATGTGATGGTCTAGTAATGGTGACAGTATCTGTGACACAAAATGATAGCTCCTCAAAATTAAGGTGTTCACAGAGCCTCAAACAGTACTTACTCCAACAAGATTTATAGGAACAAAAGAAAGACAGAGGGTTGGAAGGAAGAGAGGAAGGCCAGAAAAGAATTTGGGAAGACTTACCGCCATTTTTGCCCACAGTTCGGAAGCATCTCCAGAAGGCCCGTAAGAATGATGCCCTATTGTGAGGGGTGGCTTGGATGAAGCTGAATTCCCGAAAGAGAATGTGAGTTCCCTGACATACACTGTTAAAACTGCAAAGAGAAAAATCAAGAAATCATCATTAGATGATAAGTTATGGAAGGCTAGAGTCAGAATGAAAAATAAAAAACCACATAGAACCTTGCCAAAAAGGAGGAAAATCTTTTTTCTCCAACAGGACTCTGAACTATAGAATAGACCAGGTCTTTCAATGAAGAAATTCCTTCATATAAGCATATCCTTCTGAAAACTCCAGGAGTCCAATTCCTCTTAGTGTTTCTTACCTCCCACATATATGCACTGAGGGACTTTTAATCAGTCAAGGAAGCATCTCAAATAGAGGGAAATCTTTCAGTTTTTAACTGGATGACATTGGCACTTGTATCTTTTTGGAGAACATTTCTCCTACCACATTTGGAATTATGTTTCCTTAATGATATTATTTCTGTACTCTCTCTGACCTCCATCAGCTGCCATAAGAACAACATGGCCCATGAGGACATAACTGTATTGTCTGTTCCAGTTTGGGGGTGATGGATACCTTTTTAACAATAACCTCAGAGGCAAATCCATGTGCCAAAGGATATGAAAGGTTTAAAATAGAACATTAAGGCAAATAAGAAGAACAAGGGTAGAAAGTAGCCCCTGAATGAGAGTATGAAGCAAAGTCCCAGGGCCCTAGTGAGTCATTGTTCAAGCTGGGCTGGAGAAGGGGAAAAAATATACTCCATTGCCTTTGGGTTCTTCTGCCAAAGAAATAAAGGCTGTAGGGCCTGGCGTAATCTAAAAATGGAAATTCCACCAAAGAGTAGGCAATTATCCAGTAATTATCACAACTAAAGGCAGAGTTCAGGTTCCAGAAAACTCCTAAATTCCCTGAACAAGTAAATCACGAGTGGAAAATATGTTAATCGTTGTAGAGAAGCAGGCATTAAACTGAAGATGGCAAAGCAATAGAGAAGACAGTGGAAATTCCAAATGCCACTTTTCACTTACTGACCTTTAAAGTGAGGGAAAAGCCGAATCTCTGAACTGAACAGGAAAAAATTTTAGGAGTCATCTGTTCCATTTTCCTTTTCCCTGACCAAATTCTGAGGGAAGTATCTAACCTGTCTTTAACATACAGTATGTTATCACTTAAGATAAAGTTAGCTTCTTCCTGTTAATATTAACACTGTATGAAAAAGCAAATTACATACTCTTCTTCTCCCCATGGAAAACTAGTGTAGAAATCTACTTCTGAGACACTATGAGGAAGCATGAGGAAAACATCTGGTAAAGAATTAGGTTGGAAGATAAATTTTTAAAAAGCAAAGAAAGCGTTAACCTAGCCATGCAGTTTGCAAGCTGTTGTCTTGAGCAAAGGAAAATGAAAAATAAAGCAAATGAGCTGTTACAGGTAAATGGAGTAGGTCACATTTCTAGCAAATGAAGTCTAAAATGATAATAATCTAGTTTAAATTTATGAAACTATCCAGGAAAGAATTAGTCCCAAAGTATGCTTCATACCCCAATGGGAAAAAAGCTGGTGTCTAGGTCATAGTCTGGGCTGTAGAGAAACTATACTAGTGAAATTATATCCTTAGTGTAGGTTTCTAAAAATATATTTTTTAGGGGCACGTGGGTAGCTCAGTGGGTTGAGCATCCCAACTTGTGGTTTCAGCTCAGGTCATGATCTTAGGGTCATGATCTCAGAGTTGTTTGAGCCAGCATTGGGCTCCATCCTCAGTGGGGAGCCTGCTTGAAATTCTCTCCCTCCCTCTCCCTCTGCCCCACCCCTGCGAACGTGCTCTCTCTCTCTCTCTAAATGGAAACAAATAAATCTTTAATATATATATATATATATCTTATATATATATATATATATATATCCCCACATATGCATCTTTTTTAAAACTAGGGAATAGGGGATCCCTGGGTGGCCCAGCGGTTTAGCGCCTGCCTTTGGCCCAGGGCGCGATCCTGGAGACCCGGGATCGAATCCCACATCGGGCTTCCGGTGCATGGAGCCTGCTTCTGTCTCTGCCTCTCTCTCTCTCTCTCTCTCTCTCTCTCTCTCTCTCTCTCTCTCTGTGACTATCATAAATAAATAAAAAAAAAATTTAAAACTAGGGAATAGGGCAGCCCCGGTGGCGCAGCGGTTTAGCGCTGCCTTCAGCCCAGGGTGTGATCCTGGAGACCCGGGATTAAGTCCCACGTCGGGCTCCCTGCATGGAGCCTGCTTCTCCCTCTGCCTCTCTCTCTGAATAAATAAATAAATCTTTTTTTTAAAAAAATAAAACTAGGGAATAATTTATGCATTGAAGAATTTGGTTGAGACTCATTATACAGATAAGAATTTACATAAGAAGTTATAAAATAAGAATGTTAAAAAAACTGATTGGCCAAGGACATACAATATATACAATATTGAATACAAAAAGATTTATAGTTGTATTTCCACTACCAAAAAAATTTAGCTGGTCAGTATGGAGATCATAACCACTTAAAGAGTTTACAGATAATATAATCAGTGAAAATTCTTTTAGATAAGATGGCTGTAATGAAAAAGCAGAAAATACAACATATTGCTCAAAGCTTTACTACTTCTCAACCTGAAATAACTTTTCCCTACTCCATCTGTTAAAATTCTATCCAGTTTTTCAGGACCATCTTAAATGCCACATTTTGCATGAAGTTTCTTCCTGATTCTACACTCATGCCCAATTCCCATCATGCCTCATGTATAACTCTCTAAAGGTACTCACAATCTGCTGCCTTTGAAAAAAAGTTACTGGACTTTTATCCTCTACAGAACTATCAGTTCTATGGAGTAAGTAATTAGGCTTTCTCATCTTGGTCTCCATCACATCAACTAACACGTAGTATATATTACTCCATAAATCCCTTTGGTAGTTGATTTAGAAACATTAGAAAGAATAGATAAGTAATTCCAGGTAGAAAGTATCAGATTTATATTTGTAGTCAGCCACACTAGAAATAGTGAAGGTCAACATTTTATAAACTTTTAGAAGTCCAAGACTTTGGTCTGATATTAGTATTGTAATATGGCAATACCAACTTTGATTAGTATTTGCCTGGTATATCTTTTCCTATGTTTTTAATTTCGATCTTCCTGGGTCATTGTGGTTTAGATATTTCTCTTGTGAGTAGTATATAGTTAGATTTCTTTTTTTTAACCCAATCTTACAGTCTCTGTATGAGTTTTAAAAATATATATTTAATTTTTGCCATCTTCTTATGTCATTTCTGTGAATTATTTTTCTTTGACTTGTTTTTCTTTTCCTGCTTTCTATTGTATTAGGAAAGTTTTTTTCGGGGCAGCCCGGGTGGCTCGGTGGTTTAGCGCTGCCTTCGGCTGGGAGTGTGATCCTGGAGACCCAGGATCAAGTCCCACATTGGGCTCCCTGCATGGAGCCTGCTTCTCCCTCTGCCTGTGTCTCTGCCTCTCTCTCTCTCTCTCTCTCTGTGTGTGTGTGTGTCTCTCACGAATAAATAAATAAAATCTTAAAAAAAAGGAAAGTTTTTTTTTCTTTTCTTTTTTCTAAGATTTTATTTATTTATTCGTGAGAGACACACAGAGAGAGGCAGAGACATAGGCAGAGGGAGAAGCAGGCTCCATGAAGGGAGCCTGATGCAGGACTTGATCCCTGGACCTGAGATCATGCCCTGAGCCAAAGAGACGCTCAACCACTGAGCCACCCAGGTATCCCTCTTTTCTTTTTTTTTAAGATTTTATTTATTTTGAGAGAAAGAGAGAGAGCAAGGGGCAAGGGCAGAGGGAAATGGAGATAGAGAATCTCAAACAATTCCACAGAGAATGGAGCCTGAGGTGGGGTTTGATCTCTTGACTCTGAGATCACGACCTGAGCTGAAATCAAGAGTTGGATGCTAAACCAACTGAGCCACCCAGGTACTCCTTTTTCTTTCTTTTTAAAAAATATTTTATTTATTTATCCATGAGAGACAGAGAGAGAGAGGCAGAGACACAGGCAGAGGGAGAAGCAGGCTCCATACAGGGAACCGGATGCAGGACTCAATCCAGGACTCCAGGTCACGCCCTGGGCTGAAGGCAGGCGCTAAACCGCTGAGCCACCCAGTGATCCCTTTTTCTTTCTTTTTTAAATTATTTCGGCCCCCCCCTATTAGATTAGAAGTTACAAAAGAATCTATAACTTCTTAGGATTTCTTTTTTTTTTTAATTTTAATTTTTATTTTTTTTTCTTAGGATTTCTTTTAAAAATTCAATATGCATATTTAGCCACACACTTTTCATTTTTTTAACTGAAGTATGGTTGACATACAATGTTATATTAGTTTCATATGTATAGTACAGTGATTTTGACAATTCTATATATAATACAGTGCTTACCATGATAAGTATAGTCACCATCTGCCACCATGAAAGTTACTACAGTATTATTGACTATATTCCCTACACTATACTTTTCATCCCTGCAACTCATTTATTTTATAACTGCAAGATAGTACCTCTTAATCCCCTTCACCTATTTTGCCCATCCTCCACCTTCTCCTCTCTGGCAATTATCAGTCTGTTCTCTGTATTTATGAAACTGTTTCTGTTTGTGTATGTCATGAGCATACTATGAAGGTACACACACAAGTTATGTCTTTCCACACTGTCAACTTTATGTAGTCATAAAGCAAGGTTAACATAATTATCAAGCAGGTTCAGGATTCCAAACTCAATGACATTTCACCATCTGATTAACTTGGCTTCTTACATGGCACACAAAGCAAAACACAAGACCTAAGTCACACAACAAACAAGATAACACAGAGGGTAGGAAGTTAATGAACCAAACGCAAAGTCAGTCTGTGGGTGCACAGTTGAAATAAGGCCTTAGTCAGATCCAGATCAGCTCTAGGCACTTTCTGCTTATTCTGTTCAAGCAGTGGAGGATCTCAGTTCTGTTCAGAGATGAATCAGGAAGAGCCATTGGCAGTGGCTGCCTTTTTTAAGTGGTCATACATTGAGGGGTCAGTGTCTGGAGAGTCTACAGTTTGCTGCAAAACCCCTCCTTTTTAGAGG